GCTTATCTTGCATCTGATTCCCTCCGCTCGTTTCCCAGTCGTTCTCCATTTACATTTCATTCATTTTCCGTTTGTTCATTCCGCGCTTTCCCCCCTGCCCCTCGATTTTTTTGCGGCGCTCCTCCGAATGTTTGTTCCACATTCGTACCTCCCCACTTGTTCCTTCGATTTATTCTTCATTTGTTTTCAATTTGTTCTCCGTTTATTTTCCACCCTCCTTATGTTTGTTTTTCATTTGTCGTCATTTATTTTATGCTCATTCTTCATTTCTCCCTCATTTGTTCGCTCCCCCCTCCCCCTCCTCCCCCCGTTTCGTTTTTTCATTTATTTACCATTTATTTTCCATTTATTCTTCATTTCATTCCCAATTTATTTCTCGCGCTACATCGCTTCGCCATTCTTTCACGGAGCCAAATACGGTTTCGCGCGTACGCGGTCAAGGCTCAATACCGTTTTGTCGCGTGATCGATTTTCCGCTCTCGAAATTTCCGCGAAGCCGAACGGAATGGGTGTCAAGGCGAAACGCAAAGTTTTCCGGGAAAGACTCCGCACGTCAGACTTGGTTCCGAGATAAGGGAGCTGCAAGCAGTTATCCAAATAGAAATGCGCATACGCCAACGCGGTGGCATTTAAAGAACTTCACGTCGCGCATAGGGTGCTCAATATTGCCACATTTTCCTCTGAATCGATTTCAAATTAATCTTAAGATGATTACGCGGATTAAAGCTGAGAGAAAGAGAGAGAGAGAGAGAGAGAGAGAGAGAGAGAAAGAGAGAACGCTATAATTTATTAAATTAATTCCAAACTCCATTAACTGCAAACTTTTTAAAAGGTTTAATTTTACGAATTTATGAAATTCATGAATCTATTAAATTTATGAGTTTATGAAATTTACGAGTTTACGAAATTTATGAATTTATGTAGTGTATGAATTTATGAAATTTTAAAATTTTTTTATGACATTTAATATAAAAGCACTTAATATCAGTGATTAAATTAATAATTAAGTATTTTTTCGGTATCGCGAGATAGGTATACGTATGAAATATGAATTTATGAAATTTATAAATTTATGAATTTAAGATATTTAATAAGAAAACACCTAATTCCAATGATTAAGTTAAAAATTCAGTTCTTTTTTGGTATCGCGAGTGAGATATTGAAAGTTATCTTTCCTATATCGGAGTATCGGTAGCTATGCCGAGCATCGCTGCATCGATGGCACTTACTCGTATCTACGGCGCGTCATCCCTTTCGATTTCCGGAATCGCGCGGCCGTCGAACTCGCGTGAACCTCGGCTGACCTCTCTCTCGCCTTCCAGTCGTCGTCTTCCCCGTCATCGCTGGATAACTGGGCTGGCAAAACGCCGGCAATCCTCGCGCCTCTTCTCGCGAAAATTTTGTCCCGGAAGAGAATTTTTCCCGGAAGAAACTTCACTACACACACACACACACACACACACACACACACACACATACGCACACGGTCGTGTGCGTCGCAGCGTGGCGCGCTCCGGGCCGCGCGCGCGACTTCCCGCGTCGCGCTACGAGCCCACGCGATCGTTTTCGTTGTCCGGATCGACGAACAGCGGGGAGAACGGTAACAACGAGTGCAACAGGAGCAAAACGCACGGAACGTAGCGCACGGGGGTGCCGCCGCGGTGTACGAATCGAGCTACGAGCGGAGAGCTATAACGGAGATCGAAGACGGAATAAATGGAGAACGAAGAAGATCGGCGGGGAGCGATTGGAAAACAAATAGAGACATCGCGTGTCGCGGTTTAACTCCGGATTCGTGATTCGGAACCGTGAGAGCGAAGTTTTGAATTCGATTCGTTCCGATTTAATCTGCAGCGTACACGTCTGAAGTTACGTTAAAAATGGTTGAGATGCAAATACGGAAATTCACTGCAGCCTCGGCCGCGAGTATGAGGCATTCCCTGCACAAATTGAACGTAAACGTTCCATATTTATCAGATAAATAAATTAAACGGCAATTTTGAAAAAATAATATATATTTTTAGAACTAATATTTAACTTTAATTTAATTTACATTAAATATTTAATATTATACAACAAATATATTGCAAGTCCTTTTCGGCTTTTATTATAGATACCGCCCTTTCCAAGAAAATGTAATAAACCGAGAGAGCTTTATATTTATGGCCGAGGCTCTGTATATTCGCCATCGTATGTAATGTATCTTGCCCGACGCGATCAAACGACGCATTCAGCCAATTAATAACTTTCATACACCTTATGTATGTCGTCGACAAGGCGATTGACATTTAACGGGACGATGTTCCTATTGTGACGTAGGGAAGCCCCATCTAACAAGCTGTTGTACCTCCCGGAGAAGAAATCCCTCTTTCTCCGACCATCAACTTCACTCGGTCGATGAAAATAGCTCGTGGTTCGCGAAAAGTATTTGATATTTTCAAAGGATTTTCTTTTGTGGCCGTTCGACGTTGCATCCTCCGGCGCTGCATCGGTCCTCTTCACAATCGCGTGCCTTTGACGCTAACGTAGCGATAGTCAAAGCCAGTATTCCCGATCGGAGTACTCGCCCTTTTCTCGCGAGAGGGATCGACTTCACTATTGAAATGGGAAAAATTTGGAATATTCCAGGCCCCTTGCTTGAGGTACCCTGCATGCAATATTTAGTCGTTGCTAGCACTGTCCGACGCGGATTTCAGATCATGACTAGACAAGGTAATTCTACAAACTTTTTGTTGCTGAGTATGATTTCGCTGAAAAAATTGTTCTATCACGTTACGTTTTCCAGAAAATTGGATTTAAAAGTCAACACAATAAGTGACATTTCTTATACACGGAAAGAATTTTATTTTAAAATTTACTGAATTTTCTGAAAATTATGTTTATATTAATTGTGGGACAACATAGTATAGTATCGACGAATTTTATATGATTTTTACTGTTTTTTTTTTTAATATACACTACAACAAATTTGAAGAAATAACGATAAAACGGCCAAAGAGCCTTGCATATGTATTAGTGCCGGTTACAACAAATTTATTGTAGTGCACAGTAAAAAAAAAAAAACAGAAAATCACATAAAATTTGTCGAAATGCTATGTTGTCCCGCGATTAACATGATTTTACAGGATAAATTTTAAAAGAAAATTCTTTCCGTGTAGGTACTTTTATAGATTTTTCGATGTAAAAAACGAATTCATTTGTAGAATTGCTTTATCGTATTATATTGTATTTTTACTCAAAAGTACTTAAAATGCTATTTTTGGCACTTTTAAATGTAAAAATATGACACAAAAATGTTACAGCAATTTGATTTTAGCGACAAAAAATCATAAATAAGAATCACCTCGCTTGACTCATGGTCTAAAAAAAAAAAGTTCAAATTCATCTGAAATTACAGCGTCGTTTCAGAAGGTATTAGCGAGCCATTGTTCAGGAGCTCCAAGCGCAACGTCCCGGTCGGGTCGCCGATTCACTACAGGAGGTTCTCTCTCCGATTGCTGTTCGCGCCGCGGCCGTTTTTCGCGGGGACCTAATCGTCTAATTGCGGATTCGCGGAATCCGAGGCGAGGCGACGGCGACGACCGCGACTCCGAGCGCGATAAATTCGTGCCCCCGTCCGCGGGGTTGGTGCAGCGCCCGGCGGTCCGCTCTACTCGGTAATAAAGCGATCGATTCCTCGAGGAGGCCACGTGGGCCGCCGCCGCGCTTCCAGGTATGCCACCCGCCGGCACGGCGACGAGTTCAGAGAAGTCCTTATGGGAAATCGATATACGCCCGGGATTCTTAATACGCAAATGTCGTCTCGGTCTCTCTCTCTCTCTCTCTCTCTCTCTCTCTCTCTCCATCCTCACCTCCCCCTTTCCCTCTTCGGAGATACGTCGGCCGCGCGGTATCAGTTCTCGGTTTTCGTTCCCCGGCTCCCGGAACGGAGTGGGATCTGGGAATCTGTGATACTTTCCTTTCATTATCGGTGATATCGGCAGGAATCTAAAAGAAATATGAGAAACTGACAGTGTGACTTTCACCGTGTCGATGACAGGATTGCGATAATCGGGGAAACGTTTTAGAATTCATTTCATGGACTAGCAGGAACTAATAAGTTTCTTAAGAAGTTCCATGAAAAACAGCTGTTTCATGAAGTAACGTAAATAAGAAATTCTTGAAATACTTAATCTTGTAGAAGCAGAGTTCTTCTTGTTTTTTATTCTTATAATATGCAAGAGCTTTTATTTTCTTAATTGCGTTCAATGTGAATCTTCTCTTTTATTTTTCTACTGCTTATATTTTCTGATAGCCCAGATAACACAAAGAGTTGAAAAGGAATTCAGTCGTATGTCATCAATTCTGAGTTAATTTTCAGGTACAAAAAGAATTCTTTTTCCAGGAGTTCTGTAAAGGAAATGCTTTTTGCATCTGAAAATGGACTCAGAATTGATGACATACGACTGCATATATATACGGATTCTTTTTGAACTCTCTATGCTCTCTGAGAGGCTTTGTAACAGCAGCCCTGTGCCTTTCCATTTGTGTATTTTGCATTTTACAAGCACGCAACAAATCAAATATTTATTTATTCAAAATTAAAGGTTTTATCAAAGCATTATTTTATTAAAGATCTTTACATGAAAAATTTCTACACATTTTTACATTCAAAAATTTACGCCTTCAGTGTGAAAATCCAACATTCCGACAGTTGTAAATTTCAGAAATTCAACTCCGTTGCCATTACCGATTTGAGGAAAGGTTACGGCGGGATGAAGGGAGGGAGGGAGGAGGAGGAGGAGGAGGAGGAGGAGGAGGAGAGACGATCCTTTTCAGTGATCGTCCTGACACTGCGAGAGAATCCGAAATCAGGAAACCGTCCCTTCTGGCTCGGTCCTACAATTTCCCCGTAGCCACCCTCGCACGTCACCCTCGCACTCCCCACCCCCTTTCACAATCCCCCGCGCCAATTTCTCATTCGCCTGCCGATCCACGGGCGAACAAATGGTGACGGACAAATGGTGGTCGCTCCCTCTGGCAAGGACGAAGGACCCTGTTCGACCTCGGAGGGCGAAACGCCCGTCCAGCGCCGAGCATTGGACTCTGGCGGAGATCCATCTCGACGACGAACGCAAGCGCTCGATCTTCCCGCTCGCTTCCAGGAAAGCGGCGGCGGCGGCGGCGGTTCCACTTTTATTTCCGCGATTAGGCGAGATTAATTCGCGGTGCCTGCGGGCGTTCGCGACCGCCGGTGGCGCGGCGGGATAAGTCCTTTATGGATCGCCCGGCCGTTCGATCGCCGTACTTTTGCTCATTAGCGCGGGAATTTTACGTGACAAATTGCGCCGAGCGAGGCTGATGGGGAAAGGAGAGAGGGAGAGAAGAAGCGGAAAATATTGAATGTCGGATCTTTAATTCCTCCCCATTAAAATCCATCTGTCTATAATTATTCGAATAATTATTGTCCGTTAATAATCCTTATTCGTCTCGTAACTTTCCGCTCCTCTTTCATTTCGCGTTTTTGCCATTCCTCAATTAAGTTTTTAATTCCCTCCACGATGATCAGTACGTCGTTAAGTCTGTATTCTTATAGATCGAAATCCCCTGTACTTCTTCTTTTCGCTTTAGGCGTTTTCTTTGTTATATAGAGCCTTTTTTAATTATTTATTTGATTAAATAGCTTTAATCTTTTGTATTTCAATACTCAGAATATAGGGATTCTGTGACGTTGGCAGTTTAGCTCTTAAAAAATTGGAAGAAATAGGAGCGTTTTTGTTGTGCCGCGTTTTTTTTTCTTGACCTAATAAAAAGCCCCGCCGTATCGCGACCGGCAGAGAGACTGGATATCCCCCGAAATGCTTTGCGCTGGGGAAGATTTATGTTTCGCCACGTATAAACTCGTAACTAGGATGAAGAGGAGTTCGGAGACATTTAGTCGATGCGCGGGCGTTAAATATGGAAGCGAGAGCGCGCCTTAATTAGCGTGCAAATCCGCCGAAATCCGCGAGGCGGGGATGCGAGATTCATGCCCCGACGGTGCACGCTAGCTCCCGCGCCCGGCGCGTCCCGCGCGCGCTCTCGTTTTCCCTAATGAAAGTAAATCTGAAACGCCGTGAAACTTCGGGCGAACGATCCATTCCGTGAGCTTGAACGCCGCTAAAGTGATTGACTACGCGAGAGCCCTAATATTATGCGACATTTAATTCTCCGGGGATGTTTCTCTCTCGAAGAATTAATCTTTATCCGTTTAATTAGTCTTCCAATCTACGTATCTCTTCCAATAATTTCAAATTTTCGGCCCCGTTGAGTTACATATTATATATATATTACGATACTGACAACGAGAGAAAAGCTTTTGGTACTTTGCGACTTTAATTACAGTATTGGTAAAAAATAATTATGATTAGGAGTTTTTTATTTTTGTATTTATTACTGCTATAAATGTTAGTTATCAATAATTATATTTATACACGGAAAGAATGATTTTGGAAGGTCTAAAAATTTGCTGGACACAGATCTGAAAATTTTGTTGAAGCACCAATAATTTGTTGAAACCTCAAAAATGATGAGCATTGATGTAAAACGTTTTAATTTTCTAGTAACCAGTTTAAATTTTCAACACAATTTTCAGATTTATATCCAGCAAAAACATTCTTTTCACGTAATTCTAACAAACAAATATATCTAGTTATGAATTAAAAGTGACTATACATCATAGTTAGAATAAGGGTACTAGTTTTAGTTCACATTAAGGATAAAAATTCATATTTTTCATTCAGAAAGATATTAAACAATCAATAATACATTTAATAATTGTAATAAAGTATACTTTATGAATGACATTATTCAATTTTAGTATTATTTTATATTTTTTAAATTTTAATTGAATGAAATAATGAAAATTAGACCCTTGGGTTTAGTTGCGGACCTACACGAGAAACATTTAATTTTAACTGATTGTGAGCATGTGATGTTGATTTTTTCCCTGAAATACTATTTATTTCTATTTATTTCTAATTACTTCTAAATATTATTTACTTCTGTAAAAAAGCCACAAAACAATCCTTGTAGGTAATGAAATTTGAATAAATTTTTAAAGATACACTTAAATTGACGCCTCTTGGTTTTATTACTTAATGATCTGAATAAAATGTGCAGCGTTGTTGCTAGTAAACAAAAAATCTTGATAAAGCTAACACAAAATGCTAGAAAAGAATCTTGCGCCATTCGGTGAAAAATACAATAATTGTTTAAATATAAATGAATATCCAGAATTAGTATCTGATCCACATTTAGTGAACTCTACCCCTTTATTAAATTATTATTAATTGTAACTAGTTTTTATTAATTATTAATTGTAACTAATTTTTTTTCTTTCAATGAAAAAAAACTGATTCTTAATCAATTTTTGAAAGTTATTTGCGAAACTCAACTAACCGGAGGCATTCGCCTTCGAAATGGAGAATATCTCTTGCTTGAAAGTATTTTCTGTGCAGAAACTAAACGCCACTAATTCGATCACTTGACAGATCTCAGATATATTTTGTCGAATTATACCGCGCTTAATGACTTTCTTGAGTGATATATTTCCAATGTTATTATATTTCCTCTTCGTCGAACCGTATCGTTCTTCGCTTCTATGAAAAATAATCTCCTCGAGTGATATTTTCCCGAAGCTATTTTCTCTTCCAGGAATAGTCTTTCTTTAGGTATGACTGATTTAATTAATACTTCCAATTATTATACTATTTCCTCCGTTATTTCTGATATTTCTTCAGCCCGACACACACACACACACACACACACACATACACACACACACCTATTCTTCATTCTTCTGCAAAAAAGGAATACTGTAAAAATTTCAGCATATTTCTTTCTCGAGATACTTTCCTGTCATAATTAATTTGGTTGACGACATGGGTAATTTAACTTTTATTCTCTAATTTATTACTCGTGTTTTTGATATTTTTGTCACCTTTGACATTTATTTCCATAATTAGTGCGCACACTCGATTAATCAAATAACGGAGACCCTCCCTCGGATTACTTCCCTTTCAAAGTTAAACCGTCGACGATTTAATTAATTCTGAACTCCTCCACTTCCGACATTTCCTGCCATTAATACGTTTAATAATCGATTGACGCTGAAGGTGTGTACCTCTTCCGGGGTTGTTCTGTTTTTAGAATTAACGACTGACGATCTTAATTAATTTCTCAGTTATGTTTTACATATTTCAGGCACTTCCCGGCGCTAATAGCCGGCGAATTATATTTCGTAATAAAAGACATTTATTTCCGGGTTACTTCCTCTCTTACAGCGACGACCGTATCAATTAATTGGCCAATTTAGCCTCGTTATTTCGACGAATCGCATTTTTCTTTATTCCTAGAAAGTGTCGATCCACCTCATCTTTCCCTTCCGGTTATTCGACTCTTGACCCGTGACTGATTCAATTAGTTCGTCAATTATCTCCCATTCGCGGGAGAAACGGGGACGGGATCGGCGTGAGGGGAGGGAGACGGACAAGCGATTCTGAAAATTATTCACGAGCGTCATTCGCTCTCCGAGACTCGAATAGCGTTTGCGCATCGGCGAGTAGCAATAGCTTCTCTCGCTTCGGCATGCCGTTTGATTCGGCCGCCGCGCGGGCAGGCGGGGTCCGACAGGCGTCCGATGGTTAATTTATGTAATCCGCAATTTGCGATTTTGCGTTTCGCTGCATCCATCGCCGAAACACGTCGCCGGAGCGGGATTAATGAGCCGGCGCGTTTACGCGAGCCATCTCGACAACGGACGATTCTATGAATTATCTAACGACGAGTGTATAATCGTTCCGCGCGCAATCATCTCGACGCGTTAAAGCGCTTTCACGCGCCTTGCGGATTTTTTAACGCGAAATTTCTCGCGTTTTCGACTCTTTCGCTCTCGAATTACATCGCGCCGGCAAAAAGTGAAAGGCAATCGATTAGCATCACGGTTTATTGGACGGGATCTCCGCCGTAGCTCGCGTAAACTCGGCACGCGTTAATTGCATAGCGCGAAATATATAAACGAGATAAGGTCCGTTTTGTGTCGCGCGTGACGAGAAAAAAAAATGGACTTCGCGCGCCGGTTCGGTGTAAATAAATAACCGGAGCGCGACGGACTTTGGTTGGTTGTATTTTTTCGTTTTTTTTTTTTTTTCGAGAGGAGGACAAAGGATAACAGCCAATTATTGTAACAATGAGCCAGCCGGCGAAAAAGACAGGTATCCCATTCCGCGAGTACGATCAAACGGATGGAAGCCATTTCGCCTCGACGTGATTTTCGCGCGGCGGGCAATAACGAGCAATTATTTCGCGAAGGATGTGCGTCGTTAGAATTACGAACATTACACGAATTTGTAATGAAAACTTTTATTATGTTAAAAGTTTCCATTTACAGCTGTTATTCCTTGTTATTTGGATAATCAAAAATCGAGATATCAAATATACTATAAGATCTACTTAAGCTACTTTTGGAGTTAAGACGAAATATAAATATACGGGAAAAAAAAACGGCAGATAACGTTTGTATTATTAATCGTAATTTTAATCATAATCTTTTAAGAACAGCAAAATACGTAAATATTGTCAATTTAATTGACAAACAGGAATAAATTGAGTTTATTGATATCGTCATTCTCTTTTTACTTCATTCCTCGAAATAATGATTTTTTTTTTTTAGTTTGATGGGTTTTAAATTGAGAAAAGATAATTATCGACACGTCGATCACACATTCTCATTTACTTAGATTTATATTTATTAATTTCTTCAGTTCGATTATTTATTTAACTCGGTTTCGGTCTTATATCATTTATTCGATTCCGTCAGTATTTTTATTGCTATTTATTCAAGTTTCATTAGCGCTCTTTATTCATTATTATCTTAATTAAATTTTATGTCACAATGCGCCTATTTGTTATCGATAATGTGTTATTAATTAATTCGTCAAAATGGACGCAAAGCGCACGGAAGAGAGAGAGAGAGAGAGAGAGAGAGAGAGAGAGAGAGAGAGAGGGGGAGAGGGGAACCGACAATTATTTAACAAATATGCCAGACAAATTCATCGAAATAAAATTGGCGTTAATTACGCGAGTCGACCGTGTTGCCAGGTTATTAAGGACAGCCAGTGATCCCTGAACATTTTCAGAATGCGCGCTCCATATTGGAAATGGGGGTTTAACGACCGGGTATAATTCGCGATCCGATAACAACACGCCACACACGCTCGAGTACAATAATAATTAAACGGTCATTTTTGCAAATTGCTCGCTGCGAAATTATAACCGAGCACTTCAGCGGTTCTCATATTTTTGGAAACCTCGTAACTCGCAATTTGATTCCGCGCTTTCACTTTGGTCAGGCGGAAAGCCTGTTAATGAAAATTCATATTTGGCATCTCGACCAGAGACAGTTCTAGGAATTTGATACTGATTCAAAGTTAGAAATTCAATTTAGAATCGAAAGATTAAAAAATTAAATTTAAGAATATATGATTTAAAGTTTAAGATTAAATTATCTAAGGATCCAAATATCTATTAATTCAAATCATTCATTCTCTATTATATTACTAGATCTAAATTAGAGTTTATAAATTGAATTATTTTCATATATTAAGTATTTATATTAATTGCAATTTATTTCTTCCGTGAAATCGGTTTTCAGTTTAAAGATCGGGAATCCAAAGTGCAAATTTCAATTATTTAAAAATCCAAGAATCTACAATTTAAATGATTCATTCGCGATCCATTATGTGTTTTCAGATCTAAATTAGAGTTTATAAATTATATTTATCATTGTATATTGTAGGTATTTTCAATTTTAATTAATTTATTCCGCTTGACATCGCTTTTGTTCTACATTCTTCTCCATTAATTTTAAAACTTGTACATTGCAAGATCTTTGTCCACTTCGGTTCCGAACCTCTCCATTCCTTTCGTATTCCTGACGTCTTTCAATCTTTCGCGCTATCGGAATTTCGCGAGTCCTGAACTTTCCTGTCCTTTCGGCTCTCCTCGAATGTTTCGGTGTCTTTATTAGTCTTCGAAAGTTCCGCTACGCGGCACCGGAATCCTCGTTAGAATCCGAACCAGTTCGGAATTATCCTGGCGAAAAGGGACGGACGGGCGGCCGCTCTCCCGGGAGCGAGAGGGGGAGAGGGAAAGGGAGGGAGAAGCACTCTTTATTAAAAATTCTTATTCAAAGTACGCCCGTAACAGCGGCTCGTAAAAAGAAATCCTGTCGATGCAGGAAGAGAGCTTTAATAAAGGAATCCTTAATGGTGACGGCGAAATTGCCGATCGCGTCCCGCGTCACTCCTTCGGGCAACGAAGAGGATGAGTCGTTCAGCTTATTAAAAATCTTTTATTTACGACGATGGAGAGATCGCCGCCTGTGAAAATTTCATGAATATAATGGGTATCGTGGGTATTCCCTCGCCGCCGCGCGAGAATCCGCTGCAGCCAAGGAGAGACGTCTTTGTCAAGGATAGTCTTGTTAATCGATGATTGCGAGAGGGGGACGTGGAAGAAAGTAAATATTTAAGTAAGATGACACTGAAAATTTGAGGTAAAAATTTTATTAAGCTTTCATTGAGGCATGATATCGTTAAAAATGTGAGGTACAAGAATTCAAGAGTTCATGAATCGCGAGACTCGAACAATTCAGAATTCAGAGTTCAAGTATTTAAAACAGATGAATAACTTCCGAGGATTTAATTAATTAAAGCTCGAGGAGTCAAAGCTTAAAAATAGAAGATTTGCGTCTTTAATATCCAAAATTTATCTTCTGAAATTTATATTCTACAGAAAGAACGATTTTGCTGGAAGATCTAAAAATCTCGTTGAATACAGATCTGAAAATAATTTTGTTGGAAATTCAAGCTTGGTTGCTATCAAAAAGTTTTACAGTTATGCTCATTATTTTTCGAGTTTCCAATAAACTTATTTTGACGGTCGGACAAAGTTATTTTCAGATCTGTATCCGGCACGATTTTTCCTCGTTCTTTCTGTGTAATCGAAGACCCTCGATGATATCCCGGACTGATAACAAGAACCAAGAACATGCGATTGTTCAAGGAGTCCGTGTATCCGGGAGCAAAAAAGTTCAAGGATATAAGGAAGGTAGGTATTTTCTACGCGGGAAATTAATGGTCGCTGCGCAGCAGGACAGATCGAATAAGATCATCGGTTAAGAAGTCGAAGAAGAATTAAGGAGTAAGAAATCCTCTTTTTCCGTGCTTCTGTACACTGGGAAGAGGACAGGAGCGGAAACTTCCGGGCAACCCAAATTCGCGCAGGATCCACGCGCGACGTCTCCTTTGATCCCGGCAAAACGAAAGTGGATTTGCGTAGTGCCCTAGAAATTGAATTACGTTGCGAGGCCCTCTCTCTCTCTCTCTCTCTCCCTCTCTCGTGGGAACGTCGTCGAATCCTCGATCCTCGTCCCGAAAGAGAGACGAGAGCCATGCTCTCGTCTCGTAACGGGATCGTTCAACGTGCAGAAGCGCAGGTGCGGAATTAGAGATTGCGATAAAAATACAGTTCTCTCCTCGCGGAAGGAAAAAAAAAAGAAGCTGAAGGTTATTCACTCGCGTTGGAGAGTGCAGGGAGGAAGGGAAGGGGACAAGAACAATTGTAAAATAAATTGTTGCTTTTACGAGATATTTTACGAGATACGTGTGGTGTGTAAAAGCGATATAGGAGTAGGTATATAATGATGTGATTATAACCGTAAACGGCTGTATCATTGTTATATTCCAATTATATATTATATGCTACTATTACGATACACTCCAGCTATTGTGTATATAAATAATTATTATATTTCTATCGACTGCTATTTATTATCATCTTGTTATCAAGCTGTTCTCCGGCAATGAGCATTCTATACATTGCCTATATTACTATTAACGATATTAACGGCGCGCATTAGCAATTGTTGTGAAAAGGTAAAGCAATTGCGACGACAAATTATAACGAAGTCATTGCGGTCGGGCAACGGCGCGGCGGCGTAGTCGCGACGATTTATTTTCGCGTATACGGTTCAGTGCTCCTGATTCTTCCCTTACTCTTCGAGTGTTTGTCGAGGAGCGCTCGTTCCCTCGACTTTTATCTTTACGGCGGAACGAATGCTCTCAAGAACAGCCATCGATATTCCCGTCCCGGAAATATCGGGCTTGTTCTCGAGTGCGACGTGTTCCAGGACGATCGACCGCTTCCCCTCTCCCCTTCCGCTTCGATAAATTATCGCTTCCTGAAAAATATCCTGCCTCCGTCGTCCACTTTTTTTGTCGTCGATTCTCAAAATCCTCGCTCGATAAACGCACCCTCTTATCGCTCATCTCAACAAATCTCGAAAAAATAACGTTTTAACGAAAAAGAATTTCTTTTAGTGGAAAAAAATGTAACTTGACATAAATGTCGCTTTCGATGAACTGAAGAAAAAAAATGGAGAACTGAAATAAAAGATAAAACTTTGCATCCATAAATGCTTTTTATTTAAAAATTTTTTAGTTAATATTGTTCATATTTTAATATAAATTCATCATTATTCGTGTCGAAGGTAAAATAAAATATGAATAAATTTCAAAAACATTTATTTTTCACAGGATATTTTTTTACTACTGTCATATTTACTATAATATTTTAGGAGTCGATTTTTGAAATTATTTTCTGAAGAGAAATTTATATAAATATATTTTAAAAGACTCGTTTTTCAGAGATAGAGTATTAAATTCTATAAAATTATCATCTTTTTAAATGGAAATAAATTTATTTTTTAAACGTAAATATATAGAGTATTATTTTTATTTTATCTACAGTCATTTTGTAAAAAGTTAATGGCGTAGAAATCGTTTTAATAGTTCATTACTGTCCCGAACTTGCTAATGGACGGAATCAAATTTTTTTCCAGATTGTCATTATTTCATTACAGTACACTCTCGATAATACTTTGAAAAAAGACATAAAGGGACATTAATTTTTTAATAACTCTTTCAAGAGCTATTGAGAAAAATCGATAATTTCATAGAATATTTTTAACATCCTCTACCTCCGAAACGAGATCTTCGAGGCCATGTGTTTGTATTCCTCGAACTTTTCTTCTTAAAATTAGCTTCTAAAATATTGGGCAATACTTAAGAAACACTCTATATATATGTCGATCTCTCAACGCCCTCCCTATTTATTTTTAACGTTTACCCCGGACAGACAAAGATCATTCGCTCGTGACCATATAATAACGTTTGCGTTACTTCTGTCTCCAGGTATAAGGATAACAGGGCTTACCCTTGGCCGGGCGGTGAGAGCCACTTTATCCTGTATCCCGAGAGCGCGAATCAAACGATCTACACGCAGGAGATGAGAGCCTCGGATGCGGGACGGTACTCCTGCCAGGCACGTAACGACACAACCACTTTGGAGGGCGACATCACTCTCTCTGTACTCGGTAAGTAGGATATCCTAGGATAAACCTGATGGGATTCATCCATCAGCCTATATTAGAAGCTCAAAGGAGGATCCTCCGTCGTACCTCCATTCGACGTTTAATAGAAATACGTCACGTGGAACCGAGAACAAGATAGCGATGAATAGTAATGATAAGATTTAGATCTCAAAAGAGCCATTCGCGGTGAGTAATTGAAATATTATATAATACGCGGAAGGTTCCTCTTGCAGAATTTGTAACATTGCATATGCCGTTGCTTAATATCTTAATTAAACATCGAAATATTAATTTTTTTTTTTCCAATCTAATTGATGTGCCAAAAAGAAATTATTAAAATTGAATTTATATTATTTTTATTTTAGGACAAATTTTTCTTTGACTTTTTTTTGCATTTTATATTATTTTACAGATTATATATTACATACACATACCATATATAGTATATATATATATATTTATTTAAAATTTTTGTCTGAAAGGTGTCGTGTTCGAATTTTAAATTCTCTGGGGGCTTATATTTAATGTACCTTTCTGAAATTTCTTTCTATTACACGTCATCCAGTTTCGAGAGATGATCCACGATTGTGTTTGATAACCAGAGGAGTAATCGGATTTTTTAAAATGTTCGCAATAACAACAACCCAGAAAAAAAAGAATGCGTCAATCGGAAAACTGTGCGCGCGTCCCGATTTGATTCGCCGTCCGTTGTGCGTTCGACAAAAAAAAAAGAGCACAAAATTCGGATGATCACACGAAGATCCGCCTTTGACGCTCCCATTCAAAATAAAAGAGGGGTGACGCGGGGGAAGGGGATTGCAGTGCCCAACCGGCGGGGAGTTGTCGCAAAAAGCGTTGCAAAACGTCAATCGCTATTGCCGACAAAACGATACTCGCTTTCGATATCCGCGTCAAAGAGCCTCGTCATCATGATACTGTCATGTCGAGATCCCGTGGGATACAATGTCGGCTCGCGCGCGGGAGAGAAAGACCTCTCTCTCCCCCCCGCTCTCCCTCCCACCTCGCGATTCTTTCCGGATCTTTTTCAGCATCCGGAAACCCTTTGTTATTCCGGACAACTCTCTCTGCTACCGTCGTTTTGTCCAAACGGTTTCTTTACGCCGGTTTCGATATACGAATTCGGATATATAAAATTTTATATATTTTCAAGCGGAGAACATAGAGTTTATTTTATAAACAATATTTAATCGAGCCTTTACCTCCCCCGGGTTTCCCCCCTTCTCTCTTTTCCAATCTTATATAGGAAAACGTATTGATCATCGAGAGCACCACACGAGTGCGGCGGATTTGACGCGAAGTACTGAGAAATAAATTATCAAAAATCGTGTTTTTCTTTTTCGAGGGAAAAAGATTTCGCTCTTCTTATCGACTCGATCGGATCGATTGACCGCCTTCCTCCCGGAAGGTCGTGGTCGCGTTTATTCCCGCGATAACGCGAGATAACGCGCGGCGCGCAGTGTGTATCGAACGCCCCGCGAACGTATCGATCGGGAATTTCAATTAAATCCCTCTGTCTGTCGAATCTGATCAGTTCCGAGCAGTCAGTCGCTTTTCCGGCGTGTGTTTTTGGTCCCGATGTGGCAGAGCACACAGGGGGAAAAACGCTTTAAAAGTGTTGTATTGTTCAGCTACCTCGATTTTTATGACATCGGAACAGAGTGTTTCCCGATCGGAGACATGAATTGTATTTCGGCGGGCAGTCGTCAACATTTTTAGGTTTTAACAGGGAAAGTCACAGGGAGAATAACGTTTACTGTATATTCATTAAAATGATTAAGTGACTATTAATATTACAGTATCAAGGTGCAGTTAATTAATTTTTAATCATCCTTAACGTTTATAATATTCGTGAATTTTTTAAGTACCCACATGCACCATACAACTTAAGACGTGGAAAATATAAATCTTATTAATCATTATAGTTTAATGTACACACTTACTTTTTATTGTTAAATATGAAATATAGAAATATATCTATATATCCTCCAAAATAAATTGTAAATTTTAATTTTTAATTTATAATTGCGTTTTTTAATTCTTAATATTTACAATGTTCGTGAATTTTTAAAAATATTTACATACTCCATAAAGCTTAAGATATCTATCGAAAATAACTTGTTGTTACTTATATATACATATATTCACGTGTCAAATATGAGATGTGGATTTAGTTATATTTTTTCAAGGTAAATTTTTAAATTTTCGTATCTATATATTTTCAAGTAAATTTTTAACTTTGTTATAAATATGAAAAATAATACAGATATTACTTTTTATTATTGTAAGAAAATTAAAAATTAAAAATATATATACATATATATGAGGAGAAGAAAAAGAGATGATAAGAAATTCAAGATCACTCACTTCATCACTTCTACAAGACAAAGTTAAATTTCGTCGGGTAATGCAATCACGGAAAATCGTCGCGGTGGCATATTAGAATTCTGTTGGAAAATGTCATTTTGGAAAATTTCGTCGGGGGCGACGCGGGCGAATCGCCGAGTTAATATTCATCAGAGGAGCGACCGCGCGCGCTTCCGGCTCCGTGCAGTCTACGGGGCGCTGCCTCCTCTCGTCGATTTAGCACGCATTCGCGCACCATCGCGCCGCCGTTCTTCCATCGTCTCCCTGTCTGTCGATATAACCGACTTCCAGCTTCGCCCCAGCAATTTGCCGGAAGTCGTCCGAGAGAATTCCGTACCGGTGACGTTTAACCCCTTTGCGCGCACGTTAAACTTCGCCGCTCTCCCTCGGAGTCCTTTATCTCTTCACTTTATCCGCCCGTCGAAATACCTTTCAGTTATCGATCAATCTATATATCCGCGTCAAAAATGATTTTGCGGACCAGAAAATTTGAAGGCTTGAAAAATGTAACATCGAAATATTTTCTATTTACGGTAATTTATTCGGGTAATTTTGGCTAATTTTTTTCGTGAAAAATCGATTCTTATAAATTCACCCAAAGAATTGGATATTGAAACATTGTAAGATGATCCATTTTTATATTGTATTCTTATCGAGTCGTATTTTCCTGCAGAAATTTAATATTGGAAGATAGTGATTAATTATACATATTTTAAGCAAAAGTGCTGAACAAAACCGTGCTTTTAATATTCAAAAGTAATATTCAGTATTAAATTGGATTTCTTTAAATGAGTGGAGTTCGGTGAATTATATGTATATATCTTTATACGTCTTTATAAAATTAATAAAAAATAAATCGTGTTATTGGAAACTTTATCGTGCACCAATTTGAAACATTTGCCTGTATATTTATTATACATTGGTCGTGCATTTGTACAGAAGATACATAGCGAAAAAATTAAGGGAAAAGGTCGTGTAACGGCGGGCACGAGGATTATAATCGAGAGTGGACGCTTTTCCACGTGTGCGCCTCGGGGGCAGATTAATGAATAAATTCCTTACACGAGCCGAGAAAGCAATCCGATTCGCGGAAAATTGCCAGCCGGGAAAATTGGTATACGACCCGATCTCTCTCGCTCTCTCTTTCTCTCTTTCACTCTCTCCCCTTTACGCGTTACGCGAGCGAGCGAGCGAGCGAGCGAGGTGCGTAGGTAGAAGATTCCGCGAACGGCCAATCGAATCTCCTTCGTGGAAGAGAAGTTCTTCACTCTCGCCTGCTCTCGCCTCTGCGCCGGTATGCACCGCTCCGCATCTGTTCGCCGTTGACGCGCCGCAGATGCACCGCTGTAGCTTGACTTTCGGTATGTCCTATAAGGAACGCCGCGTCGAGTTATCCACGCGCAGAAGCCCACAATTGCAACGGAGGAAATCGCGTATTCTCTCTCTCTCTTTCTCTCTCCGCGGTCATCAATCTTTGCATTCTCCCAGAAGATTGAAGGGTATAGCTTTCAATCTCGTCTTCATCGCGGACTCGGGTTTTCTTTGTTCATTAAATATTTGAGAATTTTTGTGAACGTGTCCCAAGAAAATATGAACTTGAACAATTTTCATTATTTGAACTTTTTATTTTTTATCGTGTTGCATTATTAGTATTATTTTTGTGTATTTACGTACTTAATATATAGATTATGAAATTATATTAATTAAATTTTAAATTATAAACTACATTTTACGAGATATACAAGAATCTAATTTCATAATTTTATAAATAAGAATCTAATTTTGGAAATTCAAAATTCATTTGCGTATTCGTTGCGTATAGCGTGAATAAACGATATATATAAATATTAAAATACAGAGAGATTCCTTCATTTACAATTGCGCTCTTTTTTTTTATGGTAACACAATTGATGATTCATTCGTCAGCGAGGTGTGTGAGCGGAACGTTAACAATTGTCTTAATCGCGGCCTCGTTGGCTTATCAGCCGGTTCTTGGGACGGCAAACGAAGCGTATCAGAGTTTATCATTGTAACGGGCTATTTTGTCTGGCCTATTTTTCGAGGTGGGTGCCGTTAAAGGCGTCGTTAAATTACGGGTACGCGTTTCGCGGAAACTTTAATCGGGCTTCCTCGAAACAAAGGCAGCACCCGCGCGCGCTCGGCGTTCGTGCTCAACCGTATCAGCCATAAGTGCGGCAGATTACCGTCGTATACGCGTCTGTCCCTCATTTGCGAACGCAATTACGATTGCACTTGGCAAAAGGGCTTCCCATCCATTTTTCATCAGATTTAACGGATCTTTAAATTCCTAATTCGCAGACAGTTTTAAATATTTAAGCACTCTTAATCGCGCAGAAATATTTTTATAATTTTTTTTAATTAATAAAGTACTCGGTATTTCGATTATTTAAAAAAATGGCTTAATAATTTAACGCTTTCAAATTCTAAATTTGATAAATTATTTGAGATATTGAATTCAATCTTTTTAAAAATGCTGAATATAACATACATTTTTAATGTTATTTTTCAGCTTGTTGCGATTGTTTAACTAAGACATGGATTTATTTCTATGTATTGTAATTTATATATATTAATATACGTAATTTATAAAATTTATA